CGTAAAATAACTCTTCTTATCTCTACAATGCCCGTAAAAAGTTATCAGCCACTAATATACCCCAGATGGCTTTTAAGCTGTAGTTTGTAACAGCCGTTTGCTTGTATATATCTTTTTTTTTTTTTTCCCTTAAAATAGAAGCGAACCTCTCCCTAATAATTTAAATTCGGGATAACTTCATGCAAAAAAAAAAAAAAGAAGTAATTGTGTAAGAGATGAAATTAAAAAAAAAAAAAAGAAGGGGGAAGAAAAAAAAAAATTTTTTATGTCATTAGCTATTTGGTAAACACCGCGGCGTGGCTGACTTAGTTTTATAGCTAGTAAATATTCAGACTGGAAAAACCCACAGAGGCTGCAGAATCCTCCCTGAAAGATTTCAGAGCAGGCAAGAAAAATTCTGGTTGAGGATGGGATGGTCTAGATAGATAAAACTCCCCTTGTGAAAAAAAAAAAAAAAAAAAAAAAAAAAAGAAGGGGGAAGAAAAAAAAAAAGAGAACCACACACAAACCATTGACTTTTGGTGTGAAATAGGAGAGCTTTCCGCACCAAACTCGCCTGCTTGAAACGGGGACCTGTTGCGAGCGCGGCGGGAGGGCGGGATGAGCCGCGCTCTGTCCCCGCGGAGCCCCCCGGTCCGGTCTGCGCCCCCACAGCAGCGATTTGGGAGGCGGGGGGGGGACGGGGGGGAAAGGGTTCGAGGGGGTGGCACCGAAAACCTTTGGCAAAGGGGAAAGAGAGGAAGGAGGCGAGGGAGCGGGCGATGCGAAGCTGAAGAAGCTGTCACCCTCCGGCGGGGCGGTGCCGCGGGGAAGCCCCGGGAGCGGATGGGCAGCCCCGGGAACGGTTGGGCAGCCCCGGGCACCGGCACCGCCTCACCGGTCCCCTCGCAAAGGGACGGTGGGACAGAGAGGGGCAGCCGGAGCCTCGCATCCCCTCCCTCCCTCCCCGCAGAGGGGAAGGCGCTCCCGACCCGCACTAGAGGCGGGGGGAGGAAACCTACACCTGGCGCCGGTACCGTGAATTTGGCGGCAGGAGGCTGCGCCGTTTCCTGAACTCCGCGCAG